AACAATGAGGTAGATGCTCCTGCTTCTAACACAGATGATTTTCTTTCTTGAGGTACATGTGTTTCTTCAACTTTGCTAAACATGCCTATTTGGAACCAACTGAGCCTTTCTCATCTGAAAGGTACGATTTGCAGGAAGAAATCCTTTCAATACTAACTCAATTCTGACAGGGAAAAAATATGCTAGTTGATACAGCTCCTTACTGAGATGGGTTTCTTTTGAGAGGTATATGTGTTTCTTCAACTCTGTTGTATAGGCCTATATGGAACAAAGAGAGCTAATTTTCACCTTCAAAAAGCCACGTAGAAGGTAGTATTCATTTGAATAACAAAAGCAATTTTCACAGGAAACAATGTGCTACATCCTGTAGGTTCTAACATAGACCATTTTCTTTGGAGAGATACATGTGTTTCTTCTGCAACTCAGCTGAATATACCTATTTGCAGCACAGAGAGTCTCTCTCCACCTTGAAACACCTAAGTCGTGGGTAGAATTCCTTTCAAAAACTAAGTCAACTCACAAAGGGGAACAATGTGCTAGGTGCTCCTTCTTCTAAAAGAGATGGTGATCTTTTGGGAGATACTTTGGTTTTTTAACTAAGCGAAATTGGCCTATTTGGAACAAACTGAGCCTTTCTCCCCCTTGAAGTTTCTGCCTTCTAGGAAGTATTTCTTCAAAAATTAAATCAATTGTTACAGAGAAACCATGTACTTGATGCTCCTGCTTCTAACACAGTTGTTGTCATATTGAGAGATGCATGTGTTTTCTCAAGTTAGTTGAATCAGCCAATTTGGAACAAAATGAGATGTTCTCCACCTTGACAATTCTGATTTTCGGATCGTTTTCATTTCAAAATTAACTCAATTCTCAGAGGGACACAATGTGTTAAATGCTCCTGCTTCAAACTCTGATGGTTTCCATTTGAGATAAACATGTGTTTCCTTAGCTTAGCTGAACACACCCATTTGGAACCAAGTGAGACTTCTCGACCTTGAAAACAATGACAAGCAGGAATTATTCTTTTCAAAAAATAACTCAATTCTTTTTTTTTTGTTTTTGTTTTCAGTTTAATTTATTGTGTGCATTTTAAAGTGAAAGTTAAAACACACAAACCACAGAAGCTTCATAGTACTGATAGTACTGACCAATTTTAAAACAAAAACACTGATCATTTATGCACATTCCTCATCTTTAATTTTACATCGTGTTATACAGAGGTACTAATGACACACACACACATTCTAACTCCTTATAAGCTTTTTGTGAAGCAGCGAGATATTGCATCGTAGCACAGCACAGACGGTTCCTAAGAAACCACAGCAGCAGTATTTGGTGAATGGTTATGCATAGAACTGACTTGGAGGTATGTTAAACATCCCTCATGAAACAGGTAGCACACATATACTAACATAGAAAATGTAACTGTTATTAATATAACTCTTTATGCTTTAAGTTTAAAACTCTGGGATACTTTAAAAGCAGACAACACAAAGTGCTTTACTTGAAGACTCCATAACCAAATACTAACCTATTAGTCCCCTGAGAGTCTCTTAAGTTTTGAGGACTGGTCATGGGCAAGTGAACTTTAAATACATACAAAAGCACTTAATTTAACAGTCACAATCTAGTTAACATTGGCTACATGTTCACTAAAACATACCTGTGGAGAAAAACTGACTTTAAGATTTCATTGTTGACTTACAGTAACTTCAAAAATTGTTACAGAAAAAATTGTTAGCACGGAAAAAAGCATCACTTTCACGTCTTTCAGCATGTTTCAGATGATGTATTTTGTGAATCCATTACTTTAAATATTCTAAACGTTCAACAAAATAGTATTTGAAATTGTTCTTAACCCTAATACCACCTAAGGAAAAGGGCCAGCCTGCCTATGAAATGGTTATCCGATACAGAACGGTCTGTTTCCACTATGAAAATCCATTAAGTTCTATAGTTAATTTGAGGTAAATATTTAAATCCTCACTAACACTGTTACACAGATATTTAGTGTCTTGGCATTTAAATCTCAGCAATGCTACTTGCCATACAGGCAATCTTCACAAAAAATGCCAGAGGCAAAAGAAAATGGATTTGGGAATGGCTGGCTGAGAAGGAAATGAAAAACTCTACCCTGAGTCCTCAATTGTAGACTCCTCAAAAGATGGCATACCTGATCACCATCATTTTGTGGAAGGGTCCAGGCAACATTCTAATGTTTGTATGTGTTTTTAATGCTCATAACCTTTTAAACTTAAAACTAACCAAGGGCTTATCCACTTCCCACTGACAGACGGAAAACGCACTTGTGATGTAGTTAAGCTCAGCTACAAAAGCATTAAAACAAAACAGGAAAAGAGACAGAAATACCATACCACATAATTCTGATTTAACCACTATTTCTCTTCCCTTTCTCAATAGCCTTAGAAATACATACAATGGTAAGTGGAGTACACAAAAAGTCTTAAACGAAGAATTAGTTTGTGGCATGAGTAATTTCTCTTTACTCTCCCCACATGAGCAAGTAAGCTATTAATATGCTTTTCAGGATATGTCTCAAGTTAAGCAGAACATTTAGAAAAATTCTGTAAAATATGCTTGAACCCTAGCTGCCAGTAAGTAATGCCCGCATGTGTATCTTTACATGGATTAATTTGGGCGTGACTACAGATTTCGGGGTGGAGGGTTATACCAGCCTTCTTTAATACTGACACAACAGGAAACTCGCCAGCTAAAGTTTTTCAGCAACTATAAGCATCTAGACCTTAGATATCCACCACAAAACACAAACGTAAAAAAGAACCCAGAGCTCAAAACATTACACTATGAAAAATTCTAATGTAAATATCCTCCCAGTACCAAGATGCTTTTGGGCATTAATCATTTTTTCTAACTAATGGCCATTTTAATGTGGTATTTAACTTGTATTTGATACATTAAAATTAACGCTAGAAATTACATCACTGGTTTTTATGCACACAGTCACAGTACATCCAATAAGGAAATGAAGACAGAATGACTGCACCCCACCCTCGGCTGCTGGGGATCTTCCCCCAGCAAATATATAAAGTTCTGCTCTGAATTCCCTTTCAGTATGTCCAAAGAACCACAATATCAGCAAAGAGGTGTTCAAGGGGAATACAACCTGGGGCAGAGCCAGTGAACTATCACTACAAAAGGTGTCAAACACGAGGAATTGAGGTATCAAACATAGTTACACACCACCAGAAAAGAGAGGTGATGCCTAGCTCTTGAAAAACAAAGATTAAAAATAAAGAACTTTGATTAACAAAATAAATTGGCTTTGCATTTCATTTTTGTACAAAGCAGGGAACACTAAACAGGAAGGCTTGCTAATCCCTATCTCTGTTCCCTAGTAAACACTCAGTCCAAAGATCAGTTTAGATAAATGTGGAAACCTGGCAAGAGTCATTTAACAGTTCAGCAGGAATTGTCGCCCACTATTTTTTCAATACCTAGTTATCTTTGAGGTCTTGTCACTGAATTGTTGTTTGTGAAACCACTGTTGTTTCTCTACAACACATGCCTGGGACATAAAGTCCTCCCATATAAAGGAAATGACTAACCCTACTCTTCCTACACTAGAAGACAGCTCTTAGATTCCTATTACTATTCTCAAATCTTGAATAAGTTGCCCCAAAAAGTATATTTCATCAAAGAGAAATGTCTTAACATTATAATAGCAGAATTAAGTTCCCCAATAAATAACTGCTACCTTGAAAAGAAAAATAAATTTACATATTACCGTTTTTACTTAATCTAAGAGCCCATCAATTAAGATACACCATATGTATCACTAAGAAAAAGCACTACCCATTAAACTATGACACATGCCTTGTATCACAGAAAACATTTATTTTATACTTATTGAAACAGTGCTTTTAAAGTTAAACAGATTTTTATCACACCTATCTTGTGCAAACTAAAGAATGTATGAAACAAATTGGTTAAGTTCATATAACTTCATACTCTTCTGAATCACTTTTCAAATCACAGTCAAGGATGTCTGCATTTTCCCATACATGGCCCTCGGTGTCAAGAGAACTGGTGATGCAGCATTTCTTGAAAGAGTGCTCCAACCCTGCCTTCTGTCTAATGGCAGTGGGAAGCTTTGGATAAAACGCTGCTTGATGTCTTAATGACAATCCTGCTCAACACATGAATCGGTCACACCAGACTTTTGTTGCTTTGAATTTTGTTTCATCAATTCCAAAGGTCTTGGCAATTTCTTTGCCTTCAACTGCATCACTTGGCCTGTGATGAACAATCCTTTTTGAGCATGCCTCACTAACAAAACATAGTATAGCTTCATCTACTTGTGCTATCTTTCTTTCTTAGGTCCCATGAAGCATTTTGTCGTTGCCTTGCAAGAAAAGAGGGAATTTTGATCATTCCCCCAATGGCAAACATTTGCTTCACTAATATCAAACATCCAGCCGGCTGTGTTTCCATGCTCTTCTGCATATGCAATAACCTTCTTTCAATGCTGAATCACAGCGTAATGTTCTTGAAGGCATTTTTAAATGCCAACTCAACCTGATACATTTGATACCAATAACACACACCAGTTAAGGAGACGATAATATGACAAGCTGTAAATTCACACATGCACAAGCTAGGTTGAGGACATGGCTATCACCTGGTTGACAGTAATGAGATGCATCCCAACTTCAGACAAGTTAAAATGTCAAGAGTACATTTTATGACTAATAAAATGTTTTTTTCAAGCCTGAAATGCTTAACAGAGTCACATCAGTGCAAAACAGTAAGCGCAAGAGCCAAGGAACAAATGTGTTAAGCAGAGAGCTAGAGAAGGAAAAAAAAAAAACAACAACAAACCTTTAAGATGAATTTTTCAGTGGTCCAATTTGGTTTTAAATTCCCTTTATTTCTATATGGCTTACATGTAAATCTTTTTTGAATTGGATATGAAATCCAAGTACAAATTTTTTTCAGTCCCTTTGTGAATTTCTGTCTTCACTGACAGGTTCGCAATTGCCTTTTGTCATATATGGTGGCTGGGGTCAGTGGCCTTCATCCACGGGAGCCCTACGCTGGCGAACAGATCTTATCCTGTGTGGAGAGGCTGATGGGTCTTCTTCAGTGTCAGACCCTGAAGGCTCGTGGTCTCCCTCCTGGGATCCTGTGTCTCCCACCAGTTCCCGTAGAAACTTGAATTTAGATAAAAATAGATGCCATACAAAATACCAGCCGCACACCATCAGAAGCAGGACGATCAGCAGCGTGGCCACGAACACCAGCAGCGTCAGCCCGACGTTGTGCCACATCGTGAGGACAGGACGGGGGTCGCCTCCGGGCGGCAAGCAGGAGTGCGGCGAGTGCCGGCTTCAGCGGCAGGCGCCCAATAACTCAATTCTTACAGTGAAACAATTCACTAGATGCTGCAGCTTCTTAAATGGATGGTTTTCTTTGGATAGATGCATGTGTTATTCAACTCACTGGAAAAAGCCAATTGGGAGCAAATAGAGCCTATATCCACCTTGAAACACCTAAGTTGCAAGAAGTATTCCAAAAACACTGACTCAATTCTCACAGAGAAACAATGTGCAAGATGCTACCACTTCTAACATTAATGGGTTTCAATGAAGACCTACATGTGTTTTCTCAACTCAGCTCTAAAGGCCTATTTAGAACAAAGAGAGCTTATCTCCATCAAGAGAAACCCGAATTGCAGGAGGTATTCCTTTAGAAACTAGCTCCCTTCTCCCAAGGATACCATGTGCTAGAGGCTTCAGCTTATAACAAGATGGTTTTCTTCAGAGAGATACATGTGTTTCTTTACTCTGATGAATAGGCCTCTTTGAAGTATAGAGAGCCTATCTCCACCTTGAACACCTAAGTTGGAGGAATTATTTCTCTGAAACCCTAAATCATGTCAGAGGTAAACATTGTACTGGATCCTTTTGCTCCTAAGACAAATGTCTCTCTTTCAAGAGAAACATGTGTTCTTCACCATAGATGAATAGGCCCGTTTGGAAAAAACTCCATTTAAAAACATTCTGATTTGCTGGAGGTAGTCCTTTAAAAACGAACTCAGTTCTCACAGGGAAACAATGTGCTAGACGCTGCAGCTTCAAAGAGAGATGGTTTTCTTTGGATAGACCCAACTGTTTTTCACCTCAGTGAACAGGGCTCCTTGGAGCAAAGATAGCATATCTCCACCTTGACACATCTACTTTGTATGGAGAATTACTTTTAAAAACTACTCAATTTTTACAGGGAAATAATGTGCTAGATACTCTTGCTTCTAACACACTTGGTTTTCTTTTGAGAGATGCATGTGTTTCTTCACCTTGGGTGAATAGGCCTATTTGGAACAAAATGAGCCTTTTTCCAATTGGAAAACACGAATTACAGGAAGTATTCCTTTCAAAACCTAACTCAAATGTCACAGAAAAGGAGGTGCTAGATGCTAGGGTCCTAATACACATAGGTTCCTTTGAAAAGATATATGTGTTTCATCAATTCAGCTGTAAATTACTGTTTGGAAGAAGGAGAGCCTGTCTCCTCCATGGAAAACTGACGAAGCAAGGTGTACTCCTTTGAAAAACTAACTCAGTTCTCATAGGGAATCAATGTGCTAAATGCTGCAGCTTCAAACCTAGATGGTTTTCTTTACAGAGATACATGTGATTCTTCAACACAGCTGAATTGTATTATTGGAACAATATGAGACTTTTTCCACCTTGAAAACCATGATTAGCATGAAGTACTCCTTTCAACAATTAACTCAATTCTCACAGAGAAACAATGTGCTAGATGCTTCTGCTTCGAACACTAATGGGTTTCATTGAAGAGCTACATGTGTTTTTTCAACTCAGCTCTATAGGCCTATTTGGAACAAAGAGAGCCTATCTCCATCTTGGAAAACCCAAATTGAAGAAAGTATTCCTTTCAGAAACTAACTCCCTTCCACCAAAGAAACAATGTGCTAGAGGCTGCAGCTTATAACAAGATGGTTTTCTTTGGAGAGATACATGTGTTTCTTCACTCTGCTGAATAGGCCTTTTTGGAGCAAAGAGAGCCTATCTCCATTTTGAATCACCTAAGTTGTGCAACTATTTCTTCGAAAACTAAGTCATCTTACAGATAAACAATGTACTAGATAATACTGCTTCTAAGAAAAATGTCTGTCATTTGAGAGAAACATGTGGTTCTTCACCATAGATGAATAGGCCTGTTTGGAAAAAAATAAGCCTTTGTCCACTTAAAAAATTCTGATATACTGGAAGTATTCCTTGAAAAACTAATTCTGTTCTCACAGGGAAAAGATGTGCTAGATGCTGCAGCTTCAAACAGAGATGGTTTTCTTTGGAGAGACCCATCTGCTTTTTCAACTCAGTTGAATAGGCTTATTTGGACCAAAGAGACCCTATCTCCACCTTGAAAATACTTCTTTGTATGAAGTATTCCTTTTAAAAACTAACTCAATTTTTATAGGAAAACAATGGGTAAATGATCTTATTCAAAAATAGTAGGTTTTCTTTTGAGAGATACCTGTGTTTCTTCACCTTAGATGAATAGGCGTATTTCAAACAAAATGAGCCTTTCTCCACCTTGGAAAACATGATTTACAAGAAGTTTTCCTTTCAAAAACTAACTGAATTGCCACAGAAAACAATGTGCTAGATGCTAGGGGTCCTAACACACATAGGTTTCTATAGAGAGATATACGTGTTTCATCAAGTCAGCTGTATAGGACTATCTACAAGAAGGAGAGCCTGTCTCCATCATGGAAATCTGATGTAGTAAAATGTATTCCTTTGAAAAAATAACTCAGTTCTCATAGTGAAACGATGCACTAAATGCTGCAGCTTCTAACCTAGATGGTTTCTTTGGAGAGATATATGTATTTCTTCAATGCAGCTGAATTGTACTATTTGGAACAATATGAGTGTTTTTCTACCTTGAAAACTATGATTAGCATGAAATATTCCTTTCAACAATTACTCAATTCTCACTTTGAAACAATGTGCAAGGTGTTTCTGCTTCTAACATACTGGATTTCTTTTGAGTGATATATGTGTTTCATGAACTCAGAGGTATAGGCCTATTTGGACAAAAGAGAGCCTATCACCACTTTGGAAAACCAACATAACAAGAAGTCTTCCTTTCAAAAACAAACTCAATTCTCACTGCAAACAAGGAGCTAGATGCTGCAGCTACAACACTGATATTGTCTTTCAAGAGATACATGGGGTTTCTTCAAGTCAGATGAACATACCTACAGGGAACAAACAGACCTTAACTCCACCCATAAAAACCTAAGTTGTAGAATATTTCCTTCCAAAACTTAACTAAATTCTCACAAGGAAACAATGTGTTATATGCTGCAGCTTCTAACAGAGATGGTTTTCTTTGGAGAGATACATGGGATTCTTCAACTCAGCTGAATAAAACTGTTTGCAGAAAAGAGGGCATATCTCCACTTTGAAACGTCTAAGATGGAGGATGTATTCCTTTAACAAATTAAGTTAATTTTAATAGTTAAACAATGTGCAAGAGGCTCCTCCTTCTAACACAGTTTATTTTCTTTCATGAGATAAATATGTTTTCTTCACCTTAGCTGAATAGGCCTATTTGGAACAAAACGAGCCTATCTAAATCTTGAAAACTATAGTTTGCATGATGTGTTCCTTTCAAGACTTCCTCAGTTCTCACAGGGATACAATATTGTAAACAGTACTTCTTTTAACACACATCAGTTTCTTCGAGTGATACATGTGTTTCATCAAGCAGAAGAATAGGCCTATTTGGAACAAAGGCAGCCTATCTCCACCTTTAAAAACCTACCTTCAAGGACATATATCATTCTAAAACAAACTCCTTTCTCACAAGGAAATAATGTGCTAGATGCTGCAGCTTCTAACATACACGGTTTTCTTTGAAGAGATACATGGGTTTCCTCAACTCTGCTGATTATAACTATTTGGCGCAAACAGAGGCTATCTCCACCATGAGACACCTAAGTTTCAGGAAGGATTCCTGTCACAATCTAACTCATTTCTCACAGGAAAACAATGTGCTTGATGCTCCTGCTTCTACAACAAAGTGTGTTTTTTTTGAGAGACACATTTGTTTCTTCAACTTAGCTGAATAGGACTATTTGGAAAAAAAGAGACTTTCCCCACCTTGAAATTTCTGATTGAAGGAAGTATTCTTCCAAAAACGAACTCTGTTTTCACTGGGAAAGAATGTGCTGTATGCTCCTCCTTGTAACACAGGTGGTTTTCTTTTGAGAGATACACAAGTTTCTTCATGTAAGCTCACTAAGCCAATTTGCATGAAAATTAGCCTTCCTGAACCTTGAAATTTCTGATTTGCAGGAAGTATTCCTTTCCAAAACTAATTCAATTCTCACAAGGAAGCAATGTGGTAGATGCTCCTGCTGCTAACACAGTGGATTTCTTTCGTGATGTACATGTTTCTTCACCTTAACTGAAAAGGCTTATTTGGAACAAAAGGAGCCTTTCTCAACCTTAAAAGCTATGATAAGCAGGAAGTATTCCTTCCAAAAACTAACTCAATTCTTACAGAGAGACAATGGGCTACATGCTGCCACTTTAACATAAATGGTTTTCTTTGGAGAGATGCATGTGTTCTTCAACACACCCGAATATGCCTAATGGGAACAAAGGCAGGCTATCTCCACCTTGCAAAACCCAAGTCACAGGAAGTTTTCCTTTGAAAAACTAACTCCATTTTAACAGGGAAACAATGAGCTAGATGCTTCTTCTGTGAACACATATGATTTTCTTTCGTGAGATACATGTGTTTCTTCACCTTAGCTGAATAGGCCTATTTGGAAGCAAATGAGCCTTTCTCCATCTTGAAAGCTGCAATTTGCAGGAAGTATTCCTTTCAAAACTAACTCAATTCTGACAGGGAAATAATGTGTTAGTTGATATTGCTCCTTACATAGATGGTTTCTATTGAGAGATATATGTGTTTCTTCAACTCTGTTGTATAGGCCTATTTGGAACAAAGAGAGCTTATTTTCACCTTGGAAAAGACACGTGGGAAGTAGCATTCATTTGAAAAACGAACATAATTCTCACAGGAAACAATGTGATAGATCCTGTAGCTTCTAACATAGTATGTTTTCTTTGGAAAGATACATGTGTTTCTTCTGCAACTCAGGTGAATATACCTATTTGCAGCACATAGACCCTTTCTCCACTTTGAAACAGCTAAGTTGCGGGTAGGATTCCTTTCAAAAACTAAGTCAACTCACACAGGGAAACAATGTGCTAGGTAGTCCTGCTTCTAACAGAGATGGCATTCTTTTGAGAGATACTTTGGTTTTTCAACTTAGCGGAATTGGCCTAT